GTATTAAGCATTTCAAGAGAATAGATTCATAAGTTACATTAAATTGTTACCTGAGAAATAATACAAGTCGCAGAATACGTAGATAATAATAAACGTCTGATCTGATGTATAGGATAATTATTTGCACACAATGTAACATTGTACCGCCTTTGCTTATTAATACACGTTTTACTTTCATCATTCTTGATAAATATATTATAATATTACATAATATTTTAATATTAATGTTTTTCAGAGAAGAAAGAAAGGGAATGAAAGATATAAATATTTTAATTGCGTATATTTTTTAAATTTACTCTGAATGGAAAAATTGAAATAATATAATATCGCGTGCAAATATACATACAGAGATATCACTTAATATCATTAAACTACAATTGTTTCAGTGATAGAAATTGCATCGGGCGAACATGGTTTCGATCTGACTGAACGAATGATCGCTTGTGTGGAAATGAAGGCGCCGGTTCTGCAGGTCTACCGATCGAAGCAGGATTTCGAGCTTGAGAAGAAAAATTATCCGAGACAATTATGTTTCGGTCAGTTCAGCATACTAATGAAGAGAACGATGCTGCAGCTCTATCGAAACAGGGTAAAATCGAGTGAATAATGTGTTTTGCTGATTACAAATGGCAAGTAAAAACAACGGAGTGCGGAGGAAGTCCATAAATTGATGACATTCCATAAATTGATGAAATTCAGTATTGAATGATTTTCAAATGAACATCGTAGCAAACACCAATTAATAATAATATGATATCAATGTTACGATTTCCCATTCCACAATTTAACTGTTACCTTATATATGTTACATAACATGCGTAATATATTACATTTACGATACATTATTGAGTGAGAAATTATAATATTAATGTTATATTATTGTTAGTTGGTGTTTGCTGGGATAATTGTACCTCGAATGGCAAAAATATGACAGGTCTCGGTAAAAGTACAAGATACGCATGAATTTACATTTCCATAACATTGGTCCATAAAGTTATCAAAACGAACGAAGAAATAAGTGATTTCTATGTGTGTTCATAGAACTATTTCTACATGTTAGACATTATCATTATATTATAACACTATCTGAAGATGTGTTTGTACGTTTTCTTGGGATTCGTTATTGGCGGTACTTTCTATGACATGGGTTACGACGGATCCAAGAGTCTCTACAATTTTAACTTTTGTTTTACGACTATTATGACATTCCTCTACTTACATACGCTGCCCATACTTCTATGGTGTAAGAATAACTATGATACTTTTGCTACTTTATATACGTATAATTAGAATTGGTTTGTAGAAAAAAAATGAAAGGATAACAAGATTGAAGGTAGCGGAAAATCAATCAATTCTACTATAAATGTAAAGGGCATTTACAATATATTCATGAGTATTTCATGAATGTAGGGTCGATAATCTTGTGTAACATTCTAATACTTCTAATGATCATAAAGTTTGTATCTTGCTGTAATATTTAACAAATTCATCGTGTTCCTTTCTAAAAACTTAATTCACGTACGGACACGATTAATCGGATGAAATTAATCGACATGCGTAGATGAACAAATCGATTGCGTCCAATGTCATTATTCGTTTTTCTTGTTGCAGTTCCTGAAAAACTTGTACTCGTAAAGCGGGAAAGCTTTAATGGATGGTATAATATTAGTTCTTATTTCTGGGCGTTAACAATAACGAAAATACCTGAACAGGTTAGTCCTCGGTAAATGGTATTATATTTTCATTATTACGTCATATGAAACACCTTACGCAGCAAGGCGGAATATTCTATTATTATCACTGTACGTTAGCGATCTTCGACTTAATCACCGTAATATTAAAATATTTCCCTTACTCTGGAATTTCTTCCAGATGGTATTGGTTTAATATTTCTCTCGATAGCCTATCTGATCACTGGACAACCCATAGAATGGCAGAGATGTTCCATGTTCTTCGGCGCTTCTTTACTAACTGGCTTTATCGGGGATTTAAATCACCCCCTTCAGTTTGCGTCCGTTCACGATTTAACGTAAGGAAACGCAAGATTCACTTGACATTCACGTCACTTCGCCTATTACAGGCAAACTCGCAAGTTTTGCTAGCAGATTGGTTTCTTTTACGTTTTCTCGTGGAACTAAAGTATTAGGTCGTAAAGATTCAAGCCGAAACTTCAGTTTGCATCCGTTCACGATTTAAAGTAAGGAAACGCAAGATTTACTTGACATTCACTTTACTTCGCCTATTAAAGACAAATTCGCTAGTTTCGTTAGCAGATTGGTTTCTTTTACGTTTTCTCGTGGAACTAACGTATTTGGTCGACAAGATTTAAGCCGAAACGAGTATTTGCATTATTTCAAGTTTCCTAATGTAGATTCGAGAGAAACCCCTGCCGCTTCAAATCTTCGAGGCTGCTCATGGAAGTAACGTAATAAAGTTCAATATTTCAGTCACACTCTTTAGTGTTCGTCCGTTCACGACTTAACGTAAGGAAACGCAAGATTCACTTGACATTCACGTTACTTCGCTTATTACAGGCAAAATCGCAGGTTTCGCTAGCAGATTGGTTTTTTTTACGTTTTCTCGTGGAACTAGCGTATTTGGTCGAAAAGATTCAAGCCGAAACGTGAATTTGCATTAGTTCACGTTTTCTGATGTAGAATGAGGAGAAACGTGCGCCGCTTGAAATCCTCGAAGCTGCCACATGGAAATAACGTAATAGAGCTAAATATTTCAGTCACACTCTTCAGTTTGCGTCCGTTCACGATTTAACATAAGGAAACGCAAGATTCACTTGACATTCACGTTACTTCGCCTATTAGAGGCAAAATCGCACGTTTCGCTAGCAGATTGGTTTCTTTCACGTTTTCTCGTGGAACTAACGTCTTTGGTCGAAAAGATTCAAGCCGGAACGAGAATTTGCATTAGTTCACGTTTTGTGATGTAGAATGGGGAGAAACGTGCGTTGCTTGAAATCCTCGAAGCTGCCGCATGGAAATAACGTAATAGAGCTAAATATTTCAGTCACACTCTTCAGTGTTCGTCCGTTCACGACTTAACGTAAGGAAACGCAAGATTCACTTGACATTCACGTTACTTCGCTTATTACAGGCAAAATCGCAGGTTTCTCTAGCAGATTGTTTTTTTTTACGTTTTCTCGTGGAACTAGCATATTTGGTCGAAGAGATTCAAGCCGAAACGGGAATTCGCATCTGTTCACGTTTTCTGATGTAGAATGGAATTAAACGCTCACCGCCTGAAATCCTCGCGGCTGCCGCTTGGAAATAACGTAATAAAGCTGAATATTCCAATCAAACTCTTCAGTTTGCATCCGTTCACCATTTAACGTAAAGAAACACAAGATTCACTCGACATTCAGGTTACTTCGCCTATTACACGCAATCTCGCAAGTTTCACCCGCAGATTTATTTCTTTTCCCTTTTCTCGTGGAACTAGCATATTTGGTCGAAAAGATTCAAGCCGAAACGTGAATTTGTATTAGTTCATGTTTTCTGATGTAAAATGAAATTAAACGCTCGCCGCCTGAAATACTCGAGGCTGTCGCATGGAAATAAAATAATGGAACTGAATATTTCAATCACACTCTTCAGTTTGCATCCGTTCACGATTTAACGTAAAGAAACGCAAGATTCACTCGACATTCCCGTTACTTCGCCTATTACACGCAAACTCGCAAGTTTCGCCAGCAGATTTATTTCTTTTCCCTTTTCTCGTGGAACTAGCGTATTTGTTTCGAAAGGATTCAAGCCAAAACGTGAATTCGCATCAGATCACGTTTTCTGATGTAGAATTGAATTAAACGCTCGCCGCCTGAAATACTCGAGGCTGCCGCATGGAAATAAAGTAATAGAACTGAATATTTCAATCACACTCTTCAGTTTGCATCCGTTCACCATTAAACGTAAAGAAACGCATGATTCACTCGACATTCCCGTTACTTCGCCTATGACACGCAATCTCGCAAGTTTCGCCCACAGATTGATTTCTTTTTTCTTTTCTCGTGGAACTAGCGTATTTGGTCGAAAAGATTCAAGCCGAAACGTGAATTTGCAATTGATCACGTTTCCTGATGTAGAATCGAACGCTCGCCGCTTGAAATCCGCGATGCTGCAGCATGGAAATAACGTAATAAAGTTGAATATTCCAATCAAACTCTTCAGTTTGCATCCGTTCACGATTTAACGTAAAGAAACGCAAGATTCACTCGATATTCGGGTTACTTCGCCTATTAGACGCAATCTCGTAAGTCTCGCTCGCAGATTGATTTCTTTTACCTTTGCTTGTGGAACTAGCGTATTTGGTCGAAAAGATTCAAGCCGAAACGTGAATTTGCATTATTTCACGTTTTCCGCTGTAGAATCGAAAGGAACGCTCGCCGCTTGAAATCCTCGATGCTGCAGCATGAAAATAACGTAATAAAGCAGAATATTTCTATCACGCTCTTCAGTTTGCATCCTTAACAATTTAGCGTAAAGAAACGCAAGATTTACTTGACAATCACATTAATTGTTTTTCTTTTCTAATTTTTTTTCAAATTTTTTTTTAATTTTTCTTCTGCTTTTGGCTCTTTTTAAGTATTAAATTTGTGCAGTTTTATTTTTTTTTATTCGTGATATATATGTAAAACGAATGCCTAACCTTCTTTTTATTCTTCCGTATTTTTAAGTCTTTTTTTCGGTTATTCTTTCTTTCTTTAGATCTTTTTAACATATACTTTTGTCGTTGCTAATTTGTGTTACTTTCTTCTATTTTATTTTATTTTGTTCATTTATTTGTTCATTTATATATTTATTTATTTATTTATTTTATTTATTTTATTTTATTTATATATTTATTTATTTATTTATTTAGTTTTTCCATGCCGCCTTCGGAGCATACCGAACATAACATGGGACAGCCGTGGTCAAAGTGGGGTCAGAATGAAATCGGGACGAGTTCGCGATGAGGTCAAGATTAGTTCAGGATGAGTTAGGTTACCGGGTTTTCGGAAAAAGGATATTTGTGACATCCGTCCGGCAGGCATTAGTAGAGAACACATTAGTAGAGTGTGAAAAGAGAATTGGGAGTTTTTTTCCCCTCCATTTTTATTCTCTCGCCCGTATCTCGTAAACCATTGGAGAGGTAAGGTTGCTGCCTGAGGGAACGTTGCTGCCGCTGGTAAGCGCTATCATGCGCACTAACCCCACCCTTCCACCACCTCCCGTTGAGGCGCTGTATTTTTGGAAGTTGCGTTTTTGGTATGGAGATAGTCTCACAACTTTGCGACGGTTGCGAATAATTTATCGGGGTTGCAGGAACCGACGCTCCTTTCTTCAGGCTTTTTAACGAACCCAGCCCCACCCCCCTAACATCACTCGTTCGAAAGTTGCAGCCGGTTTCCCTTAAAAACCTAACGGTCATTCTTGTTTTCGGGCTTCTAATTCTTCACAAATTGAAATATTACATATTTTTTTGTTACCTATTTATTTATGTTATTTGTTTCCACCTTGCTTTTGAATTTTTTCTAAGTTTTTTAAAAGTTTCTTTTCTGTTTATTTTCGCTCTTTCTAAGCTTTACTCTTTTTGTTGCTTCATTTTTTGTCATTAATTCGTCATAGATGTAAAACGACGACATATCCTTTTCTATTTGTTGCTTTTTTTCTAAGTTTTTCTTAATTTTTTTTTGGTTTTTCTTCTCTTTCTTGACTCTTTTTAAATTTAAAATTTTTGTATCTTAATTTTTTTAATGATTCGTGGCATATATGTAAAACGACGATCTAACCTTCTCTTTATTCTTGCGTTTTTTTTAAGTCTTTTTCTCGGCTTTTTTTCTTTCCTTAGATCTTTTTTAAGATTTATGTTTTTCGTTGCTAATTTGTGTTATTTTCTTCTATTTTATTTTGTTTATTTATTTATTTGTTTATTTATTTATTTAATTTATTTTATTATATTTAGATATTTATTTATTTATTTACTTTTTCCATGCCGTCTCCGGAGCATACTCAACATGACATGAGACAGCCGTGGTCAAAATGGGGTCAGAATGAGGTCAGGACGAGGTCACGATGACGTCAGGATGAGTTCAGGATGAGTAAGGTTACCGCGTTCTCGGAAAAATGATATTTGTGACATCGGTCGGGGAAGCATGGAATACATTAGTAGAGTGTGAAAAGAGGAGGGGGAGTTCCCCCCCCCCCCCCCCCCNATTTTATCTTCTTCAGCCCGTACCTAGTAAACCATTGGTGAGGTAAGGTTGGTGTCTGAGGGGACGTTGCTGCCCCTAGGAAGCGCAATCAGTCGCACTCACCCCACCTTTCCACCACCTCCCGTTGAGGCGCTGTATTTTTGAAAGCTTTTGGAATGGAGAACGTCTCACAACTCTGCCACGATTACTAATATTATATCTGGGGTGCTGGGACCGACGTCACTTCCTTCACGCATTCTAACGAACCCAGCCCCACCCCTCTAACATCACGTGTTCAAAAGTTACAGCTGGTTTCTTTTAAAAACCTAACGGTCATTCTTGTTTTCGGGCTTCTAATTCTTCACAAATTGAAATATTACACATTATTTTGTTACCTATTTATTCATGTTATTTGTTTCCACCTTGTTCTGAATTTTTTCTAAATTTTTAAAAGTTCCTTTTCTGATTTTTTTTCGCTATTTCCAAACTTTACTCTTTTTGTTATTTCATTTTTTGTCATTAATTCGTCATAGATGTAAAACGACGACATATCCTTTTTCTATTTGATGCTCTTTTTTAAGTTTTTCTTAATTTTTTTTTAATTTTTCTTCTCCTTTCTGACTCTTTTTAAATTTAAAATTTTTGTACCTTAATTTTTTTAATGATTCGTGATATGTGCAGGTTTATGAAAAAGTATTGAACCTCCCTAGTGTCTTCAGTTGGAATGCATTTTGGAGAAAATGTCCAATAGCAAAATTGTATGGTTTCAAA